TTGTTCACATTACAAGTACAGTACTAAGTACTAAGTACTGACAAAGTTGTAGTGGGTTTTATTGGGGTTTTGTTGGGTTTGGTTTTTTCGGGTTTTGTTTTGCTAGTTCTGGCATTTGCTGGCAGTTCTGTGGCATTTGTCACCTCTCCTCTAAATATTCCTTTGTTCAGCCTTGTGGCTTTGAAACCCAGGTCTAATGATCTTTGCTTTTCTAGCCCTCCAAAAGTGGTCACTATCTTGAAAGCAAGAGTGGACTTACTCAGGCCTGAAATTTTCCCAAACAAAAGACATCCAAATAATAGTTACGACTAATCATCTGCTGCCTGAAAATGTGCTGGCACCCTCTGAACCTCACTGGGTATTACAGATATTGGGGTTGACTTCCACAATCACTTCAATGTGGAGGCAATGACTTCCTTGAGCCCGAGTCCCCACATTAAGGACGGGTGGAAGGGGGGCACAGGGGAGTGGAAGACCAGACAGAGGCTCCCATCTCCCAGATAATAGCAGGAGACTGGGCTGCAGTGGCTTTAATCTCATCCCTCGAATTTATCCCTTTTTACTGCAGTGAGACACCTGGCAAGGGGAGCCCGGCCTCCTCCGAGGGAGCTCCCCTGCAAGGCGCTCGTTTCACCGGCGGGGCGACCCGGCTTCTACCGGGGTCGCCCGTCGGGCATGACGGCGGGACTTGTGCCATTGCCCAGCATGACAGGACTCGAAGTGCCCGTGGTAGCCGGGCGGGCTGCTGAGGCCAGAGGAGGCTCCAGCCACAGGCGGCAGCCGCTGCGGGCCGGGCCGGGGCCGCGCTGGGCCGGGGCGGCGCAGCCCGGCCCCGCAGCGGGCGCGTTCCAGCCGCCTGCCCGGCGCCAGCCCCGCGGGGCCCGAGAATCCCCCCAGGTGCGCTGCTCCCGGAGGCCCCGCGGCCGCTCCCACCCGCTCCCCGGCAGCTTGGCCGGAACCTGGTAGGGGACGCGGGGAAGGGAGGCCGCGGGTCCCCCGAGGGCCGCTCGCCGCTCCCTCCCTGGGGTGCAGCACCCCGGGGCCCCGCGCTGCTCTGGCCCTTCGGAGCGGGCTCCGGCAGGGAGCGGACCGGGGGATCCAGCCCGAGGAGTCCCTCCAGCCCCGAGGGTCCCGCGGGCAGGTCGCGGGCATGGAGGGTGCGGGGACTGCTGGTGGGGCCGCTTCCCCGAGCGAGTGGAAGAGCTGGACACAGCTGGATCCTCGGATCCCCGTGTTTAGCCTAATCTAATAGCAGCAGTGATTAGAGTTTATTATTATTTGCGCGCTGATCTTTTCGGCTGAAGGGAGATTTAAAAATCGATGGTAAAGTCGCATGCCTGACTGCTCGGACACTTATGGAAAAACTGTTGGCCAAGGCCAATAAATCAATCCTCCTTTTTCTTTCTCTGTCCTGTTTGTTTCTTTTCCGCCTCCAGAATTTTCTTCCTTGCAGAAGGGAACCCATATCTAATAAGGTGTCACTTTGCAATACATAATGCTTGAAGCCAATGTGCTAATTATAGATTAATAGGAGGTGAAATTCTGTTGAAATGACATAGTGAAAAAAATCCAAGCTGATCAAATATAGTATGTCATCAAACATATTATGGTTGCTTAAAATCCTATGTTTAAGAGGACGCTGCATAATCTTCTCAACCCCCATGACTCACTGGCACCAGCTTTTACTCAGAGAAGTTAGAATTCGCTTAAAGTTACTTAGTGGTAACCAGGTTCTCAGACTTTTGAGAGTTTATACAGCCCCAGTCAAGGTATGTCCGATATTTCCAGCCTGAAACAGCAGCAGCCTATAGACGGAACAAGTAAATGAAATGGAAGTGTTTAACAGGCTTCACACGTTTCACTTATTTGGATTTGAACTGAGGAGCCGAGCTGAGCCTTGAATCACCAAAGAAGGAAGAGCATAATTACTTGTCATTATATTCATTCCGATTTCTAAATAATGTTTCTGGGCTTTATTTTATTCAATGCTTAATTTAAAAATAATGATTAAATATTAGCCCTTGGGCTATGTGCTGGATTATAGCCAGATGTATTATTACTTCTCCTTGGGACTCCGGAAATATCTAAATGGACTGGGAGGGAAAATGAAGATTTCCCACACAATTAGTTATGATGGAAGGACAGTGCTATGACAAGTATAGATTTTAATTGTTCTAAAACGACAAGGTATTTCACCAGAATCAACACATAAATGTTGGGAGAAATCACATTTGGTCTAAGGTGATGGTGCATGTCCTTGGTATCCCCGCAGAGGAACACACACCGCTGCATTCCAGAGTCTGGCTGTATACAAACACACACGTAAGGAAATCATGGATGTCTGTATATCTGCACACACACGTAAATTTCTCTAATATGTTTACGTGTTCGCTGGTTCGAACAGCAGCAAAATAAGTGTTGCCTGATTTAGAGCACTTCCCAGATGCTGCAAACACTGATGAACTAAAATCCTCATGTAGAAAAAGAATAGTTTCCTCACACGTACACACATACACACCTCGGGATGAAAAAAGGAGAAAGGAAGAAAAAAAGAAAGAAAGGAGAGGAAAGGGGAACTCGATTTATTCTCATTTGTTTATCTCTAGATTTTCCCCCCTTTCTGCAAATTCATTTGAATAGCTTTCAAGCTGCAAAATGGAAATGTGGCTCCTGCCCTCTATTTCAGCAGCAGCGTCCTGGCAACAGAGCAATTTTCTATCATCAAGGATAAATGGCATCGAACAGAACATTCTGATAAAAAAGAAAAAAAAGCTTTAGCCCAAGAAGCCCATGATTGCTGCCCTTCCTGTCTATCATCCCTTTACAAAATCCTCTCCTCCAAACCTGAGCTGCATGCTGTCAGAGCTAATAATGTCTTCTAAAGAAAAGGGGAAGAAACAGCATTCGTGCACAATGTTCCCATTTATTACATAGAGTGCTTATTTAAAAATTGCAAATATCTTTGTTTGGTTCGCTGCAAATTAAAACCAAGATGTAGGAAGTTACACGATGCAACAATTATTCATGTCACAGCAGAGCATCAAACTCTCATATCTGGCTTTTCTATTGGTTAATGTGTGTGTGTGTGTGCGTGTGCATGCGTTGTGTGTATGTGTGCAATGCAGGGAATATCCCTTGTTGTGAAAATAAAAACCACTTCAGGTAAGTCTGTGTTTTGTTGTTTTAGAGCACGGAGGGGGGTGAGGGGTGGAAGTCATTACTGATACGAAGGAGGCAGAGGCTGTGCTGTCTTTGCAGTTCCACGGGGGGGTTCAGCCCAGGGACCCGTACGAAGCCGTCTGGAAGGCTGCTTCAGGAGCGGGGTGCCTCGCTGGGGTAGCGGGGCTCTCCCGGTGCCGGAGCCGCCGCTCAGCCCCCGCTCCTCGTCCCCCGCAACTCCGCGCAAACGCGCTCCCGGCGCTGGCGCGTTCCCGCTGGGTGCCAGCGCCGGGAGCCGCCGCTCCCTGGCTGTGAAAGGACCCTCGACAATAAAAACAGCTGCAGGAACAGTTCGTTCGAGCGGAACTTCGGCGTTCAGGGATTATTCGGGGGCGGGGGGCTTACCCTGTGGTCAGAATCCCCGTCCGGCCCTGCCCAGGGGCCGGGGGAGGCAGGGCAGGAACACACCCACGCACCGTGAGCTGCCCCAGGCCGGGGACAGGCAGGGGACAGAGGAACAGAATCATCACGGCCCGGCCGGCGACGAGGCAGCACCGGGCTGGGGAGGAGGGCAGGGGCGAGGCCGCGGGTGGGGACAGTCCCGACGGGAGAGCTAAAAACAACCCGTCGAGCGGGATGGTTCACAGGCTGCCTCACCGCCCCGGGGCTTCCCTTAGCGTGGGGCCGTACCGCCCGGGCGGGCGGGCTGCGGGCCGACGGCCCGGCGGGGTCGGACGGGCCCCGGTGCCACCTCAGCCGCCCTCGGGCGCGGGCCCGTCGGGGCCGGCGCCGCGCATGCTCCGCGCCGCGTCACGTGCGCGGGGAGGCCGCGGGGCCCCGCCGGGAGCCCGGCCGGGAGCCCGGCCCTGGCCCGGCCACCGCGCCCAGCCGAGGGAGGACCGTGCCCCGAGGCGCCGGCAGACGGCAGGGGACGGTGTTTCGGCCGGAGCCCCGGGCTTCGCCTTCAGAGCTCTGGGCTGCCTCGACGTGCGCAACGGGAGACGTGCGCACCGCTCCGCCGCCGCACCCGCAGCTCCGCTTCCCTCGGGGACTTTGCTCGGCCGCCCGCGGCTGCCTGCTCGCCAGGCGCGGCCAAGAGCCCTCCGCAAAAAAACCGACAAACAAACACCCCCAAATCGCCCATTTTAAAAGCCGGGGTCGAGTCTCACGCCGGGGGCCTGGTTTTCCTCCTTTCCTCCTTTTCCTCCTTTCCTCCTTTCCTCTCACACCCTGAGGCTGCAACGTCACTGGCTCTTGCTTTGCCCGGTGGACGAAGTAGCACAGCCAGCCCCTACCCAGCTAGTAAGAGTCTTTGAAGTTTAGATCGATGTCCTGAAAACTTGTCTGAAACTTACTTAATTCACGGGCCACAGGCCACCTGACGAAAAAAAAAAATCCAAAACCACACAGAATGAATAATTTCGTCACTTTAACCATATGTATATGCACAGAAAATTAAGGGTACGTGTAAAGTTTGTCTTAAACGCGGCGAAGTCCATGAAAGACTTCTTGCCCCGCTCTAGATGAGGCTTGCGGGCAGGCCATTTGATTTATTTTCATTTTTCAAAGGAATGGAGAAAGTCGTCCGATTAGAAGTGGTATTATTATAATCTCCATTCTTAAACCTTGAAACAACCTTGTAAACAATCGGCTCCTTCTCCCAGCCCGGTTCCCACCTCCACTTAGTAATGACTGGAAGATTTATGAGGCTTTTTTAGCAACACCTGTCTTTTTGAGCTGTCGACACAACCAATTAATACTTTTAATTACCACTACAAGGAAACTAACCAGAACCTTTCTGATTTGATTTCGCCGCTGAATTTTATCCCCTCTGAAGCAGCCCCAACCGGAGGCACCGCGGCCACGGGGGGGGACTCTTTTTGCTGCAGGTTTATTTTGCCTCGGGCTGGATGGGGGTATGATTTGGTTTGGGTTTATTTCGCTTCTCTTTTCCCCTCTTCATTTGAAGTATTTAGCCATCCCTTTCTAGAAGAAAACAAAAGGGCTTGCTGACGGGACCCCAGAGCACACAAGTCCTCCGGCTCCCAGAGAACCAACCTTTCGCACTGGCGGCCCCGGGGACGGCAAGGGAAAGGCTGGAGGCACCAAGCACCGCTTAGGCAAAAGTTACCATAAATAGTGCGAGAGGGGGCCGATCTGGCTCTCACCGAATTCCTGGCAGTTTTTACCAGTCATTTCAACGAAAGAGCGAGCATCCCCTTTGCGGAGAAGGGAAGAACAGGGGCAGACGGCACCTGAGCCCCGCAGACCATGAGGCAGCGGGTTGAGCGCCGAGCGGGAGCCCCGCTCTCACCTCGGGCCTGGGCTATTCTCTTCCTGCACCCCCATTTCCTCGAGTATCCCTGATCTTCATCTGAATAATCCAACAGTCGAGGAGGAGATGGGGCAAAAACTTGAACAGAAAGTGTGTTTGTCGTTCAAATGGCATGAGTGCGATCAAAAGTTCACAGATGCCCATGAACGGTGCCGGCAGGGCGCCATCCTCCCTCTCTCCAGAGATGCCCCTTTAGCCATAGGGTGTGTGAGTCTGGCTGACCGCTCCCCGATTAGCCCAAAGTGCTAGGAAATGGGGCTGCCACGAGACCCCCGGCCTTATCCTGGGCGGATTGCAAAGGGCGTGATCAAACCTTGCCCCCATGTACATGTTTCACAATGCGGCGTGAAGTGGGCAGCAGCGTATGGAAATGAAGCGGGAGCACCCAAGTCGGGATGCTTAACCCTGGCCCATCCTCCGTGGACTTTTCCCTCTCCCCCCAGCCCCCAGCTAGTGCATGTGAATTGCTGGAAGTCCCTCCGACCGAATGCCGGGAGCTGGGAAGCATAAAGCAATGGTCTTTGGGTTAAACAGGCACCTCTGCCTGGTAAAACACCCCGTGCCGTTCCGTGCCTGCTCTCCTTTGTGTTATCTCTAACGCTGCCCAGGCCTCGCAGAGTTATGCCGTAAAGGCGACGTCCCACGTTAAAACAATATGAATTCGCGGACGGATCTTGAATATGAATGAGGTATGTGGTCGTATGACTGCTTTGAAGCCGTACTTCTCCGAATATGGCTTTAATTAAATGTCTTCCGGCTCTAAAAGATTACATGTTGTGCAAAATATATCCTAGCATGAAATTTACTTCCACGATACGAAATTAGGTTACTTATAAATGTCTTCATTTAAAAAAGAAAATCGCTTCTTCTCGTTCTGCTTTCTGTTTTGTTGAACAAGAACTCCAACGAGGAAAGAAGGTTGGGATAATATATTTATGGAGGCACGTGTAACAAAACCTGCCAGAAGCGGAGTGAGTGAGGACTGCTTGCTGAAATGCAGACAATTCAAAAAACAGGCAAGTTAATTCAGATCTGATTTGTTTCAGATCCAGCTGTCAGAACCCCGAAATATCTCCCGCGCCTCACGCCGCAGATACCTAACGTGCTTCTACCGGCCCCGTCCCCCACCATCCCTTCCTCCTGCGTTTATTCTGTGAGAGGGATGCTCAGAGGAGAGGAGTCAGGGCAAAAAGATGGAGAAAGGTGACGATTTCCAATAGCGAAAAATAAAAATAATTCTTGGCGGGATGGAGGATAACGTCGTGGTCACACTAGAACCAGTCAGTCGGGCAAAGCAGTTTCACTCCGCCAGTGAAACCGCTCTCGGTGTCAAGAGCTTTCCCGCTCCGTATGCTGGATGCGGGAGGAATTCAGGTTGCTGGAGGCGATGCTCTGTTCGTATGTACCTCTTTACGCCTTCAGATACGGGACCTCACCTAGTTAAGTTTCTATAGAGAGATCAGATAATGCATCCCTTCGGATTATCTTTCTAAACTGACTTTTAGATTTGGTTTTATAGTCCGTTGAGACCCTGACAAAAGAGGCTGTAGCTAGATACAGATACGAGATAAACGTATAAAGCAAGCTCATTACACCGGAATGAGTGAAGAACTCTCCTTGCAATCTACTCTAGATGACGAGTCTGCCCGAAGAAACAAGTAAAGCCGAGATATTTATTTCTTTTCCTAATAAATAAACCTCAATAACTGCATTGACTTTGCACGATGTTTACTACATTTCCATTCAGTGCTTGGGTAAATGCATCCCTAAAGGCAGAGTAAATAATTGCACTGATCTCAACAAGGGAAATGTGTAGACATTTGAAGTGTACTAAAAATAAACGAAGGCGAAAGAGACTGAGGAGAGAGGACACCGCGCTTGTTTGCCGTAATTAAAGCCTCTGCTTTCGCTCTCCGGATTCCGAGACTTCCCGACCGCAGCCGGGGTGACACGTTTCCCGCGAATGTCGCCGGCACAGCACACGAGTGGCCGTGGGGAGCCGCGGCTGGGCTCGGGAGGTCTCGGCGCGGCGCTTGGCTGGGAACTGAGAGTGGCCGCTACTGCAGGACAAATTGCAGCCTCTCTGCTGACTTAAAGAGCCTCGAGTTTCCATTCGCCTCTGAGCCCTTCCAAGATGGGCACTTAAGAGCGGTGGTGGGTTGGGTTTTTTGTTTTCTTTTTTCTTTTTTTTAAATTAGACTGCATCTTCTTCCTCTGCCAGAATAAGGTTTTTATTTAATTGTTGTTGTTTTTTTCTTTCATTTGAAAAGAAAACAAAACAACATAAGTCCCCGCTAAAACCAACATCTGCTTCAGCAGCACTCGGGCAGACGGGGACGCCTGCCAAGTGAAAGCCTCACAGGCGGCGGTCTGCAAACCTGCGACTGCATTCGGGGAGGTCCCCTGAACCTCAGAGGGGAAGGTCTCCCCACACCGCTGCCACGTAAGGCTCCCAGCGGAGAGGCGAAGGAGGCAGACTCTCGCTCAGACTCTTTACGGGGATCACGTTCGCCGTATGGGCAGAGCGGGAGAGACCTGTCCCCAGTGGTTCAGTTAAGGCGGTGTGGGTGCACACCTGACCAGGTGCGAGGAGAGGCGGGCGGCCAGGGCCTCCGAGGGAGTTCCGTCCTCCAGCCGGGCAGCCACTCGCCTGAAACCTGATTGCATTTTAAGGCAGGTATCTATCCTCCCCCACATATCCCCCAACAGGGAAAACAACTAACGACAACATCACGACAAAACATTAACCAAACAAAAAGCCCCAGTGTCCGATCCTCTGCAGAGCCACACATTGAATGAATCTGCCTGTAAGGTTTTAATTACAGCCAAAGGCTTCGCTACAAATCTGTACAAGAGACAGTGGCTGGTTCCCTCTGGATTTTTCCCCTTCTGACTCCTATTATTTTGACCCAGGCTACAATATAGAGAGCGGCGTGTGTGATCCATCTGCAAGGCTGGGCTGGGGTTTACCCTCCCCCCCCCGCCCGCTTCCCTGCCACTTCCTTCACACTCGCGATATGGAGAGCCATTGACGCCTGCCTGTCTGTTATAATGTTAGAGTGGGTTGAAATCCAGAGGAGCCTCCGCTCCGCTCTTGCTCTCGCATTGGCAGCGCTCAAATTCCGCAGTCTCTCCTCAAAATGGCTCTCTTCCAGTTTGAGGAGGTGACCTCCTTTAGAGGGTGCCTTTCCTCGCCATTTTGCTACCATTTAGAAGATGGCATTAGGACATACTGGTAGAAGGAGAGGAGGACGTGTTTTGGGGTAAATAGGCTTGAGAGACCGGTGAAAAAAATGTCATCGGCAGATGCAAGGAGGGACATTTTGCTATAGCTTCTGGGAGCTGTACATAGAGCGGGCTGCTAGGGGAGGACGGCGGCTGCCGAGCCGAGCCGTGCCGGGCAGCTGCCCCGCACACCCGCGAGGTGCGGTCGCGGACACCCGCGGAGCGACGACGCGCGGGGCGGGGGCGCAGATTTGTCAGCCACCACAGCCGAGGTCCAGCGGGGAAAGTGCCGTGTATCTGCGAAGCGAGCCTCTCCGCAAAAACGCGTCTGGAGCGGATCGCCGCCAGCAGGAATATTTTCTGGCTTTCCGCTTCTCTCAAGACTTTCCGCACACACCTCTGCCGGAGAATCCCGTTCTCTCCCGAGCACCTTTCGATTGCTTTGTGGATTCTGCATTGTTGCTAAAAAACCCAGGAGATCCCGCACTAATCTTTGCCTTCCCCCCCCCCCCGCATTTCTCTGACGCACCAAAAAAAATCGTGTTTCAGGATCCGCTTCATGCACATGCATGGGCTTCTGGCGGGAAAACACACATAATTCCTGAAATAAGTTTCTCTCGGATCTTCACAGCTACTCTGACCAGTGTGAGACAGAAAGCACTCTCCCGGACCCTGGTGTGAAATGGGGAGAGGGGATACATAATCCCAGAGCGCAGCCTTCAGCTCCTTCTGCGAGAGCATCTTGGAGGAGCCTCGCCTGAGGAACAGCGTCAGCTATCGCACCCCTCCCCACAAACCAAAAAACACGCTAAACAACCCGAGAGAGGGACTGCACTTGCAGAGCCCACCCTTGCAAACACCACAGCAGGACTTCCCGGGAAGGGAGGGGATGAGAAACAGAACGAGAATGTTTGTTTTCCCCTGTTGTTATTGTTGAACGCATGAATGAATGAATGGAACAGAAGGTGCTCGGAGGCATATAGGAAGCCTCTGACCGCTTACATTAACTTCCTATTACACCCTAAAAATAGAACCCCGTTTCCTGTTGTTCATCAGCTCCTTCTGACTGTTGTGTCTGTTGTGTGACATCTTTCGACTCACAACTGTGCCTTCAAACCACACATACACGCTTTGGCCCTTTGAAAGTGTTACCCGCAAACATCATTAAAGCGGCACGGTTTAGGATGACACTGAAGACCGATCTCACGAAGTCACCCAGTCCCGGGGCACAAGGAGCCCGATGCGCGGTGCCACGCTCTCCGGCAGTCAGCGGAGCAGGGGAGGACCGCGGGGGAGGCGGGGAGGGGAAGCAGCGTTGCCCCCGCGGCTCTCAACCAGCCCGGGCGCGGAGAGGGACTGGCCCCAAGCCTGCTAGGGATGCAAAGGCCTCGTTGCTCTCCAGGCGAGCGAGGGTGACTTGCGGAGTGCATTTCCTGGGAATGGTAAACCGAGGGGTTTAATATTCCCAGGAAAAATTAATATTTAAACCGAGGAGGGAAGCCCGGCCAGGGATGTGCAGGCAGAGTGCGATGGTACCCACGGTCCGGAGCGGACAGGGCGCGGAGCCACGCGCAGGGCACGTCCCCATCGCCATCGGCCAGGGCTGCAGCCCAGTCCTCCGGGAGCTCAGGCTTGGCCGCGGAAAGAGCGGAGAAGCCAGGAAGGGGGTCACATGCGGTGAATTCCTGCTGTCTTTTCCCAGGGAGGGACTGGTGCTCACAGGAGGCGGTGCAGGGGCTCCCGCCTCGGGGCAGTCCTCAGCCGCCCCCTAACTCGCACCTTGCCCCATTCGGCCGGACTCCTGGCCCTCCCGGTCCCGCGCAACTCTCGGGAAGCTCGTTGAGGCAAGGCGGCTCCCCTCGTGGGCTCCCACCCCTCACTCGTGACTGCTGTCTGCTCGCTTTCGAAGGCACTTCAAGGCGCGGGGACTAGGAGGTGTGGGCTGCCCGTCCTCACCCCTTTTTCACGAGCTACCCACCCTGGGAAATGAGCACCCCACTGCTCCAGTGCGTCCAGAGCTAATTATTCAGGTCTAATTTCTTCAGAAAGAGGCCGGTGACGGAGCTCGTCTGCACGCAAGTCAGAGCCAGGAAGGACCGGTGCCCGGCAGCGCGGTTTTCCGGCGGGCGGGGACCTCCCGGGCGACCCGGCATCCCCCTCCAGAACGCGGGCCCAGAGCCTGCCCTACCCTCGGATAAGAAATATCCCTGCAGCTGCCGCCTCTATAAGGACGCGGCTCGGGCGCTTATTGCCCCCCACCCCGCGACTCCCGGTGGGCCTAATTAAATTGGGGCAAATTATCGGTGTGAGGCTGGACGGAGTCAACTGTCTTGACGACAGACAAGGATGTCTGAGCACCGCGGAGAAAGAGCGCCAGGTTTCCGGCTCTTCCCTCCGACTGGCGCCCACCGATGACTCGGCGGGGGCTCCGCACCTCCGCTCACCGCCATTCCCCCCGTCCCGCATCCGAAGCCCCCGCTTGTCCTGCTCGCCCCACCGCAGCTCGTCTGTCAGCTACGCTGAGCGAGTGATGCACATGTAACTCCATTTGCCGCCTATCGCAGGAAGCAGCTCCTGCAGACTCTCCCTGCTTTTTCTTCTTCTTTTTGTCTGACTCAAGGCGGCATATAGGTATTATTTCAAAGTGGCCCCCTCTCCTGCTCAACTTTTTCCCATTCCGGGGTTAGCATCCATTATGTGGCAGGAATTATTTCGAAACAAGAAAGCAACGTGTTGCAAACACTCCCCAGCCTATTTTCTGACATCTTTTGTTATGCATGCTCTTGCTGCCGGAGAAAATGCTAGTATGTGCACCTGCGAAAAAAAACCGCCTTCATGATGTTAACAGCAAGCTGGAGGGTATAAAGCAATAAAACTGCCAAATGTACCTGTTCCTATTGAGTACATTACCTACACCTATGAATAAAGAGTCTCAGTAGGAATTCTTTCCCTTCTCTTCCCCTTTCTCTATATTTTTATTCATTGTAGTTTTGTAAACGCCTGGATCGGGTTACCCTTTCGCGTGTTAAAGTGGAACTCTTGTTAAAAGCCGGAGAACAAGGCAAGACACTTAAAACTGCATTCAGAGTTACTGAACCGACTCCAAGGGCTCAAGAAGTAAAACAACGATGAGAGGGTGGGTAAGGGGGCTCAGAACATCCCAGCCACACAGGAAAAAAAGACATCCCTCCCCCATACGCCCCTGAAACAAGCCATATGAACAACGAGCGCTGAGACACTATGGGTTATGCCCTGCCAAAGATCGAGCATCGCTTCGCATCCCCCTTCCCCCTCCACACTTCCCCCCACCGGTATCCGAGCAGGGTACTCGCATCCTTCGACTTCCCAGAGCTAATGACCGGGCTGTGGAGAAACAAAACTTCAAAATAAATGAAGGAATGGAAAAGAGAAAAAAAAATCCCAGTAAGAAAAATTAAAACGCTCTAAATATTTCCACAAGCGACGCGTTAAAATATATATATGCAAAATCTGAAAACCAGTCCTCGGGGAATGTCCCAGTGAGAGGCAGTGTCAGGACCTGGGATCGGTCTGGGGAAGTCTCTGGGCTGTGCGTGGTTTTGGAAGCGGTGGCTGCTGGTGCCGGTGTTGGTTTTTAAAGCCCGAAATCTCCAGCCCCTTTCCCCATCTAGAGCAACTTTCTGATTTCTCTATGCCTAGCGAGTTCCGCAGGGTCCTTCCTACCTCAGTCCTCTCCGGTGGGGTCTGTCTCTGGAGTTCATGCTTAGCTGGACGCAAGGAGGTTTAAGCGAGGCAAAGGGGTAAAAAACAGAGAGGGGTTGAGAGAGAGAGAGGAGAGAGAGGGGGGAGAGAGAAGAGAGAAGAGAGAGAGATCCTTCGCCGAGCTGGATCAAACTTAATGTCTTTCCCTAGTCCATCTTTGAAAGAGAAGTGGTGATACCACCTGGATGTTCAGATATAAATCCCCTTGCAAATAATAAATGGATTAATAATAACAAGGTATGAAGTTCTTTTTATAGAAAAAAGGAGAGAATTGAAACTAAATGCGGCAGTTAGACAACCATTTTGATAAGAGGATAATTGAGGCGACACTGGTGTATAATTAGAGGATAATTTATGCTATATCCACTTTTATTCCACCTCCCAAAATAAACCCAGTCCATAATCATTACAGGCAAATTGTTCTGAATTTTATAGCAGCAATTTGAACAAAGTACTGCAGTTAATCATGGGAGATTTTTGTGTATTCCTGATTAGAAGTCTAATTGCCTCCTTCCAGAAAGTAAAAATAACTGTAAAACGACTCTATTTTTATCATTAACAATGTTGACAATAAAATAAAATCAACTGGAATTGTAATCTAAAGACAAATTTAGGGCGCAGGCACTTTTTTTTTTTCCTTGGGTCGTTTATATCCTAATCAAGCTTTTTGCCAAAACCGCCAACCGCACGTAGCCATTTGCATATATTTGAAAGCCATTACGGGAGCTGCTGCTGCTGCTGCGTTCAGTGGGGAAAAATGCGCTGCGCGTCTCTTCGCCGCAGCGAAAATACCGCGCAAGGAGGCGCGGGTGGGTGGGTGGATGGAGGGGGTCGTGTAGTGGGGGAATGTTTGATTCGGGGGAAAGGGGGGATGGGGGGATGAGGGCAGACGCTCCCCTTTTCCCCACCCGCGCGCGTTTCTTCCACACCCGCGCGTGTGGGGATAAACGGGAGGGGGGGAAAAGGGGGGCGGGCACGGGCAGCGCGCGCTGCCGGCTATGACGTAAGGGGGCCGAGTGACCAATGAGGGAGGCGCTGCCCTCCGGAGACGAACCATTCGACTTGTGCGCGTCCCTGCCCTTCAAGTCGGAGCGCCGGAGTCCCAACTTTCCCGGCTCCCACCTTCAACTCCCCCCACCCTCCACGCCCCCCCTCCATAAAAAAAAAAAAAAAAAGAAACCCACAAAAAACAACACCCACCCCACGCGCCGGGGGGATGAAGGAAAAGAGCGGCGCAAAAAAGCGGCGGGAGTAGCCCGCCCTCCCCCTTCACACACCCCGCACACCGCCCTCCCCTTCCTCCCCTCCCTCAGTGAACGAGGCCCCTCGCAGAACGGCTCCTTGGAGAGGAGGGGGGGAAGGAAAAAAAAAAAAAGGCGGAAAAGAAAAAAAAAAAAAAAAAGAAAAGAAATTAAATTAAATCACCGCCGCCTCTCCAGCGGTGCCGCGGCGGGTAAGGGGAGCGGCGGTGGCTGGGCAGAGAGGAGGCAGAGCGCGGGGGGCGAGCCGGGGAGCGCCGCGCTCTCCCTCCCAAACTTTGATGATGACCATGACTACGATGGCTGACGGGCTGGACGCGCAAGACTCCTCCAAATCCGCCTTCATGGAGTTCGGGCAACAGCAGCCGCCGCCGCCGCAGCCGCCGCCGCCGCCCCACTCCCAGCAGAGCTCGCCGGCCATGGCCGGCGCCCACTACCCGCTGCACTGCCTGCACTCCGCCGCCGGCTCGCACCCGCACCACCAGCATCACCATCACAGCTCGCCCTACTCCGGCAGCGCCGGCTCCTACAACCACCGCTCGCTGGCCGCCTACCCTTACGTGAGCCACTCGCAGCACAGCCCTTACCTCCAGTCCTACCACAACAGCAGCGCGGCCAGCCAGACGCGGGCGGACGATGCAGGTGAGCCAGCACCGCTTGCCCAACCCGCTGCCACTTCCTCGCCCCGCTCCCTCCATCCCTGGGCCTTTCCCCGGCCCCCCCGGCCCGGGCACCTGCATAACGACCCCCGCCGTGCCCCCCGCTCCCGCCGAGGCAAACGCCAGGTCTGGGGTGCGCCGGGAGGCGGGGAGAGAAGGTGGGGGATTGCTTGTTTCCGCGGCCCCTCTGCGGGCCTACTGCTGCGGTACTGGCGGCGGGGCCGCCGCGCTCCCCCGCGCTGGCGGCGGCTGCCGGCGGTACCGCGGCGCAGCGCACCGGCGCCTTCCTTGCCCGGCCGGCGGCGAGAGGCTGCGACTGGCGCTCCTTTGTTACGGCGGGACCGGCTTTAGGCAAAATTCCTGCTAGCACCTGAGGAGTGAAAGTTTCCAGGCGAGCGGGTCGCATTCCGCTCGGGGGCCGTCTGATTTATGTGGGGGTTTTGGTTGTTTTGTTTTTTTTTTTTTTTCTCAGAGAGCCGTACGTATCCATCCGGAGGGGCACGGCGGGGGGGCGGAGGGGAAAAGCATTGTTAAAAGTCTCGGACTGGTGGTTCACTGACCACCAAACTGGCGACGCGAAGTTAATTAGCTCAGTAAAACCTGGATGGTCTTGGAACAAGGTATCCCTTTGCAAAGCCAGCGCTGCGCTTTAAGTTTTTAAAAATATTATTATTTTTTGCTCCCCGGGGGCAAGGCAGCGTGCCCACTATGCCCGGACAGCTGTTTTTTCTCCCGGTAGCTAGGCAGCAGCCTGTGCCGCGCGTACCTTTAAGGAGACGGGGCTTGTGTGTACGCGATGGGGTTGAACATGCGTCGGGACAGGCTTCGGCGGTTTTAGGAGCCGTGGCAGCCAAAATACCCGCGTTTAATAGCTAAGGAGGGTGATGTTTCAGCTGTGTTGTTTTGCTTGCAGATCAGCAAAAAACCACAGTGATTGAAAACGGTGAAATCAGATTTAATGGAAAAGGGAAAAAGATTCGGAAGCCTCGGACCATTTACTCTAGTCTACAACTCCAGGCTTTAAATCATCGCTTTCAGCAGACCCAGTACCTGGCACTTCCAGAGAGAGCTGAACTGGCAGCTTCATTAGGACTTACCCAGACACAGGTAATTACTGGGAATCCCAAATGACTGAAATCCTGCTCGAGCAATAAAGGCCAAGCAAAGTATGATGTTCCCTAAACCTCTGTCGGGAACGGTAGAAAAGGTAATGCACACGATTCCCATCTCTATGTCCTAGGACTTACCCAATGCGCAACAGAGACCGGGCTACCGCAGAAGGAGCTGAAAGCGCCTTTCCCTCAGCCGTCTGGCGAGCAAGCGCTCCCTTTTGATGCCACACATAAGATTTTAAAATTGCCTGTATTTTCGGATAATTCCAGCACCGAGATACAATTGCCCAGCTATGAAAAGGAGAACAAAACAAAGGCAAGGAATCTCTGGGCCTGAGGTAGAGCTAAAAGCAAAGCTGCCTCGTAGCAACGTATGTAGGTAGAGGGGAAGCAGGGACGCGTTAGGAAATACCTGTAAAATCAATAGTTAATTCACCTTGGATGACTAACGCAAATGCAGTGGTTAGCCTTGGGCAAAATGTACGGAAGGTGATAATAGATCTGAGGATCAAAGACAGCCGTGTACAAAATTATGGCAGGTTAAGCCATAGTTAAGTGTGGTTGGAATAGCTGTGCCATTCTGCTAATTTAAACTTGAAAGACATGTGAGGCATTACAGGCTTCCCAGGCTGGGGTTTGTGGAGAAGTGCATGGATAGATGGGATCAAATCGGGTAAAATGTTATCATGTGAATTTATGAGCTTAACAAATAACTTCAGGATTTTATCATTGTCATTGGTAACAGTTGCTTCCAGCCAGCGATTTTTAAATACTCAGCAAACATTAATGATGGGAATAGACCTGATGGTTTTGCAAATGAGATTTTAGTATCCTTAGCTTGCACACTCTGTTTCACTTTTGTCTCGCTTTTTCTCTCACACGCATAGATTTGTTTCAGTGGCCCGATCCTGAGCATACTAGTAGAGAAGCACTCCTGCTTATCTCATAACATTACGTCTGCAAAGTTTGCGAGGTCAAATACACATGGGGGTTTTGTTTTCTTTGTTTGATTGATTAAAAAAATACGTTGTGTATATATGTCTATATAGGTATATATAATTTCTATAATAATTCTGATCTGCCAGTGGGCCCGATCCTCGCACATCTTATCGAGTACAGGCTCCTGTTCTGCTGGGTTAGGAGCAGGATGAGACCCAAAGCAAACTTGATATCCAATTACTCACTAGAAAATAAAATTATTCTTTCTTTAAAAATATATATTAAAATAAAGCCACAATCCTGGTTCCATTTTGCCTCCTCCCCCATCACAGCAGCATGGACCACTTGATCTGATCGTGTGGATTTCGGATGCACGATTTCTTTGTAAGATGCCCTTTGTCTATTGGCTCCTGTATCCTGGCACAAAATCATATGATTGCGTGTGTTTGACAACAGTTTGCCCGAATGATCAAATGACCTCCAAAATTCTGAATGAGGTGCTAAAGCAGGAGACCTCAGAATATGTAGTTTGTTTCAGCTTGAACAATCTGGCCTGCGCAAAGAAAACAACGTTCCAGGTTAAAACTTGCATCCCTCTCGCTTTCCAGCTCTGGTCTGCCTCCCCTGTTCTCTCCAGCGGCATCCAGAGTCCAAGAGCAACTGTAGATATCCTTCCTTCCTCCCTTCCCATCCCCAACTCCACACCCGACTGGCGTGTGCGCTCAAGACCTTCTCTGGAGCAGACCCACGGTCCCCGGGGTCTCCCCTGCTGTGCCCTGGGCACTGATGGCAGCCTAATATCTGCTGCGTTTTGGTTTACAGGTGAAGATCTGGTTTCAGAACAAGCGCTCCAAATTCAAGAAGCTGCTGAAGCAGGGCAGTAACCCCCACGAGAGCGACCCTCTGCCAGGCTCGGCTGCCCTCTCCCCTCGCTCTCCAGCTCTGCCTCCAGTCTGGGACGTTTCAGCCTCTGCCAAGGGAGTCAATATGCCTCCCAACAGCTACATGCCTGGCTATTCTCACTGGTATTCTTCTCCACATCAAGACACAATGCAGAGACCACAAATGATGTGAATTGTCCAAGAGAAATAATCTCCCAAGAACGCCTCGTCTCGACATGGCAAGAAGTTCGCCTGCTTTGCCAAGCCATGCCAGCAAACAGGCTCTGTGTGAACTTGCAGATGCGGCAAAGAGACAGTGGCTTTTTTTTTTTTTTTTTTTTTTTTTTTTTTTTTTTTTTTTTTTTTTTTTTTAAAGTATCCTCAGTGATTGATCTTTAACAGAAAGACACAATTTTCATTCTGGCGCACAGAAGACACTTCTCTTTAGGATATTTTCCTTTGGACTCCAAGGCACCAGCCTCTTTCTCGGTGGAGTATACGTCAAAACAAACTTTTTACAGACTTTGCCCACAAGAACCTGAATCTACCATGGCAGCCGTTTTTACTTGTTTAATGAGCTAAAGACATTACATGATGAAAGAGACTAGTCAAAGCTCCTTCATTTTTATTCACCAAATCCAGACTGGGGAAAGGATTAAAAGAGAGAAGAAGGGATTAAAAAAAAAATGGGAAAAAAGGAGAACTGGTTGAAAACTGAAAATGTACTGTAAGATTAGAACACTACCACGAAGCAAAACATGCATGCTTTCTCAAAATGCAATGGGCTGCGGCTCAGAAGAAACCACCGTCTCTCACGTGAAGAGCCCCCTCATCCGCACAGACCTGCACCCACACACAGCCGGACAGACTCCCGGAGACGAGAAGGAAAGACAGAGAGATGGATTGGCAGCCAGACCCGCCGCCGCGGGCTGGGGAAGGAAGGCTCAGGGCTGCCCGGCAGCAGCCTCACCCACTGAGCAAGAGGGACCTTTCCCCGAGCAACCTTTCTGTATATATTGTTGAATTTTAGTTGTACATATACTTTGTATGTTTTTGTCTTCTTTCATATATATAGAGTAAAAGCCACAAAATGCCCGCCTGGCTCATATTTCCACCTTAGCGGATCCCCATCTCCCCCGACCTGCCCCCCCAGTTCAACCCTGGCAGCGGGACCCTGTGCCCCGCTTGCCTGTGCGCAGAGACCCCTACCAAAGCATAAATCTGCGAGCAAAGAAAGAAAAGATGAAGTGGGGGAGGGGAGGGGTAGCTGGTGGTTTGGTTGGTTTTAAGGCTACGACTTAAAGACAGGAGATACCGAGTCCACAAAGATACACCTAGAAGAAGTTCCTAACCATCCGGCCATTTCTACTGCGATTTCACTGCTCCGCTGCTCAGCTGAGCTGAGCTTTCTCGCCGAGGCAAAGCTTAGAGCCCTGTCTTTCTTTCCAAAGGTTGGAGACTCCAAATTATTAAGAAAGGAGGCGCCCTCCTTTGTTTTTAAAGAGCAGACAATGCAAGACGAGGAATGTTTTGCAAAGCCCTGAGAGGTGCCCAGGCACACAACACGCTGTCCAGCCAGCTCCAGCCGCACCAGTTTGTGGAAAGCACAGCAACTACTGACAATGAAAAGCCCTTTCCTCATCCAAGCTGGGTGCCCCATACTGCGAGAATTAATGGCTAGAGACCTGGGCATCCTTCAAATTATGAACCTTGAAACCACTGAGCCATTTATCAGAAGTCAATAGAGATCCTCAGAGTGCTCCATATAATGACAGCTACATACAGTCGTGCAAAAGGACAGTCACTATAATTAGACACAAAGCAAAGACTACTTACCAATATACCAGTTTTTTGGGGGGTGTTTTTTTGTTTTTTTTTTGAGCAACTTCCACGCTCAGTCAGTCTTCAGAGTGGTTTAAAAACCGATCAGTCTTGTCATTTTCTACCATTCGTATTGTTACATTAGGAAAAATGTTTTCTTTTCTTTTTTTCCCCTTCCCACTGTGAAACTTTGGGTTCAGAGCTCCCCAGGATCAATTCTGAACAAAGCCTCCAGCTGCAGTGCCATCCAATTTGAAGCAGACATTGGGGACAATTTAAGGTTTTTATCCACAAGAAGGTTTTTTTCCATTCTCTTAAATGCAGCCATAATTAGAGTAATTTTTCATGTAGCCCGCTGATTACAGCGTTTTTACCGTCAAAGATAATTACCTGTAATTTTCTTCCACTTTTAATACTAAAAAGCCATCTTTATTTAGATTCAGGAACAGGAAAGGCGAAACAAAAGAGGAAAATTATTCTGTTATTCATACACAAATTGCAGAGACGTAGGGCCTAAAATTGAAAATTAACCAAAATTATAATGCTGAAAAGAATGGAAGAGGCTTCAGAAGTACAGCTGGTAGTGGGGCTCACTGAATTATTCAAATGACACTGGAGAGAAAGCTACCATACATTTAAACCAACAGCATCGTGTGCATCTTTCAGAAAACCCCGCTTCACACCCCCCCACGCCGGCCCCTGTGCAGGCTCGCCCTCGCTCCGCAGAAGGGCGGTGGATGCCCTGGTGAGCCAGTCCCGCAGCCCGGGGAGCCCAGCCCAGCCCAGCCGAGCCCAGCCCGACGGGCCCCGGCCCCCACGGCCGCAGCAGCCGTCTTAACCCTTTCGCTGCACCCGCCCAGCGGGGCCCGGCAGCGGGCGGTCCGCCCCCGGGGGCGGGGGGAGAGGGGGGCTCGCTGCTTCTCGTGGGCTTGCGGGGGGGCTCGTCCTCGCCTGCGCGCGCGCGTGGGTGCCGGTGCGGAAACCCTCTCGGTGAGTCGTGCCCTCCTTTCCCACGCGTGATTTCTCAAATAGGCTTAAAGAAAGCCCAGACAACAAGCAAGCAAGCGAACAAATAAACGATAATAATAATAATAATAAAAAAGCCCCATTAGCTTCGTAGCGTGGGAGAAGGTGGGAGAGGCAGGCCTTCCCGGGAGCGGGGTGTGAGCGAATGGCAGCAGCGGCTCCCACTCGCGCGGCAGACACCCCGGGAGACTCTCGTGAAACAGCGTCATCTATGGATGGAGCAGCGGCAGATCCCCGCGCCAGCGCCAAACCTGCTGCCGCCGGGCTGCCAGCGCCGGCTCCGCCACCGCCCGCCCGCCGCCGGGCTCCGCCGCCCCGGGGCCGCGGGACGGGCGCCGCGGGGAGCCGCGGAAAGGCGCGGAAAGGCGCGCTGCCGCCGCCCCGCTGCGGGCACGGGCGGACGGGTCCGGCCCCGGGCTCGCATGGTTTCTCCGCCGGCCGCCGAGTCCCGCGCCGCCCCTCCGGCAGCCGGGGGGCCCCCGCAGCATCCCCGCCCCGCGCCGCCCGCCGCCCCGGCAGCACCGGAGGGAAAGGGGGCTCGGACCTGTCGGGGTCCGGCCGCCGGGGGAAAACACCGGAGTGCGAGTGACCGCGAAACTGGGGGAACGAGTAAAGAAGGAGCGTGCCTCGACGGGCAAGGCGCGGAGCAGTCACACACCAACCCCAAACCCAAGGGAGCCCCAAAACTTACCCCTGTGAAAATCTCCTAAGCAAGGATCGGGGTCTAGAAATCTATACTGAACAGAAGCAGTGGAGAATATTTTTCTGAGTCTCAGGGCAGAAGCTCTTTCTCTATATTCTTGGTTGAGTGAGCACATCCAGGTGTGAAATTGTTTGCACACCCCAGCACCTCTTATATTGCCAGCAAAATTAGCTGTTATTACTGTCACTGTTTAGTGATGGTTAGCTTGATAAAAAAAAACCTGCTGTAATCAAGACCTGGCGCATCTTTGCAAATTACAGATAATTGTAAACGTCCAGATTATGATAATAGCATCCTAATCCAGCCTGCAATATAATTATTACAGAGTGTTACATCTGAAACTGTCCAGTAGGGCTAATTCAGCCATTATTTAGACCCTATTTTTGCACTGCAAATGGGTTGCTGAGTTGAAAATGTACGATTGTAATTTCACGGGGCACTCAATGAGTAATGGTATAGGGAGAGAAAAATACAAAAGTGGAATGTGAACAGTAGCGATCAAATCAAACTCTGAAGGACAAAAGACTGTTTGATTCATAGGGAATGAGAAGAGCGGGAATTAAGAAAACAGCAAATCAGTGGTCTGCAGCGTTACGTGTCCAAATCTCAACGAGTGCGAGCCTGATGTGCAGTCAGGGGCTGATGCTTCGGCTCCCGCCTTGCATGAGTCCACCTCTCGCTCGGCTCTTCCCGGCAGCCTCTCCCTGGCACCCGAAGAATCCCCGCGCTCTCCCCCCATCCCCAAAAGTGGGATCGCCATTGTCGTGTGCCTCCTCTCAGGTGACTGAACGTCACTTTCGGGCAAGAAGCCTCGGGAGACTCGGAATCGGGCGGAGAAGAGTGCGGAATGCGGGACTTCGGGGCCAGGGACTCTCCGGGCGGCTGTGGAGTCCGAGGCCTTTTGCGCTCCCGTGCACCCGTCCTCAGGGGTCCTTAGGGAAATTATCACAAAACCGACTCAATTGTAATTAATTAACCAAAAGAGCCTGGCTAACAGGACTACCTGCAGCTAGCGAGGTTAACTCACTGGGTTAGTTGGCTTTCGACTCCTGATTAACTTTTATTAACCCTGGACACGAAATACAAAAACCCGCTTCATTTTTTAATGGGCTAAATCATCAAAGCGCCGTTGCCGCCGGGCCCCGCAGGACCCGAGTGCAGGGAGGCAGCACCCGGAGCTGGCCCCGTGGGCAGGTCGGCTGCCAGCCCCGGCCCTTGCTGGTCTCCCCGGGCCGCAGCCGCGCTTGGCACCTCGCAGTCTTTCTCTGTGCCCTTTTCTCCATGCGGATTAGTGAAAACACCTCAAAGAAAGGAAAGCTCAGTGGATACCGCGAGGCAAAAGCCCTATAAAACGTGTTATATGGTGCGTATCGAGGAGACTGTAAAGATCTCCTTGAATGGAGGGCCAGCTTCGCAGCCAGGCAGACGATGCCGCTACAGAGCACAGAGCCGGGTCAGGATCTGGCCCGCCGAAGCCGGATGAGCCATCCTGCAAAGCCCAGGCTGAGGTTTAGACAGCCTCTCTGGGAGTGCCGAGGAGACGCCGGCAGCGGGAGGGGAGCGAGAAGTCATCCCCAGACTCCCCTTCGCCAAGTGCTCAATCCGTCGCGGGTTCTGGCCTGGGCCGGCTCCCCGGGGCCTCAGCTGAAGGGATATAAGGAGGCGAGGGAGCTGGGAGTTTTTCCCGCGACCTTGAAGGTCGTGTCCGTGGAAGGTGTTCTCACAGACAGCCGGGGCGTGGGGTGAGTGTCGGCAATTCTCGGGTCTATATTCCAGGCAGATGAACCATTGCTTATCCACCCCAAATCACACGTAAACAGACGCACCGCCGAACAAAGAGTAGAAATATTTAATTGATGCAACACAGATTCTCCCTAAAAAAGAGAGAGAAAGGGAGACTATGCAAACCATGCAGTTCCTTTTTCACGGCTCTTGTCTGACCTATAAAACAGGTTATTGCGTTACTGCAGGCAATCGCTCAAATGACTGAAAGCAAGAAGAGGGGGTTCACACCCCATCCCCCCTCCCCCCCCCCGCCCCGATTTTCCTGGAGCAATAGATCTCCTTTCCGTAATCCACAACCAAAACACCTAAAGTCTGTCAGTTGCAAAATTACGTGGCAGAAGTCTCTAATCGATGCCACATGTGGGATGCACTCTGGGGACACAGCGCTGCCGGCGGCGGAGCGGGCAGAGCGCGGAGGCCGCGCAGGCAGCGCAGCCGCAGGGGAGCGAATGCACCGGGGAGATCGAGGGGAGCAAGAGGGCGACAGGAACGCCTGACGAGCGGGCCGCCCTGCCGCAGTGACAGGTTGGAGGGGGTGGTTTTTCTTTCCCCGGAGAGGAGCGGGAGGGAAATGGAGGCACCTCTCTGTGAGGCAGCCCTTTCCACCGGGCCCTTTCCACCTCCCTCTGTCCGCAGGGAGGTGCGGGGACGCCCGATGAGGGACAGCGAGGGCTCTTTGAAGGAAGCGGGAAGGTGCTCCCCTCGTATTCGTGGGTGGAGGGTGGTCGGCAGTGTATGTTCCTGGGTGTGGGTGTTTTGGGAGTGCGCCCCAACCGGAGGCCAGTGCAGCCGGGGGTCGATCTGCTGTGGGTGTGAAAGCCCCAGGGGTGCAGGCAGTATCAGGAGCTCTCGATCTGGGGCATCTGAGGCTGCAGGCTGCTCTCTGTGTGTGTGTGTGTGTGTGTGTGTGTCTGCGCGTCTGTGTCTCTCTGTGTGTGTCAGGCCCTGTGGCTCAGCCCTGGAGCCGCTCGGCACCCACAGGAATGTGGCTCCTCTCGGCTCCCCGAGCTGCCCCGGCTCCACATGGAAGTGGCCGCCAGGAAAACAGAAGGGAGGAGAAGAGAGCGGAGAGGCGGGGGGAAAGCCCCGAGCCAGCAATCCACCGAGCCCAAACCCATCAGACAAAGGACAGTTCATCTCATTCCCTTCCCGGGGAGGCAAAGGGGGAGGTCTGGACAAGCCAGGCTCCCTCCGGCCGCCGCCAGAGCCCAGGGGGTGCACCCAGGCGGGGACAGGCGCCGGGGTATACCTGCCTGTGTGTGCGAGGACGAGGGGACAAGAACATCCCCATCGGCCCAAGGTCCTCATGGAGGGGCAGGCGGCCGTAGACCTCCAGTGTTCATTGGGGTCGGCGCCACGACGAGAGCATATTTTCTCCTGTTTGGGGCAGGGATGTCAGACTCTCCCCAACCTGCACAACACCATCCCGATCTGGGAGGAGGGAAAATTAAAAGGGAGAGGAGCCGGCAGGAGAACCGAGTGGAGCTGACTCGGCTGGCTCGGAGAAAGGAGAGGTGCCAGAGCCCAGTCCAGTGGTGGCTGTGTGAATTCCGATCCCTGCCTGGGATGGGAATTCCATCCTGCCTGCCGGCATCCCACTTTCCCGGAGCTGTTCTTGCAGTGTCCTCCTGGGCCCTCCCGGCCCCTGCAGGTTACCGTAATCAAACAGCCCCGCGGCAGCTGCTCAGAGAAAAGGGTGGGTGGACCGACCTGGGAAACTGACTTCCACCTCTTGTGTCCAAGCCTTTCTGCAAAGGGAAGTGACCTCGGGGAAGGGAGAATCTCTTACTGCAGGTTGAATGCTTGTCTAGAGGGAAATGAGGAAAAGAACGGAAGAAAATGAAAAGGTCAAGCTTTTTTTTTATTTTTGTTTTTGGTTGGTTTTCTTTTTGCACAGGGTGGAAGTTAGCAGAAGAGACAAATCCGAGCTTTTCGTGAGCCCCAAAGTCGGGGAAAGTACCTGAAACCTTGAGAGTGAAATGAGCAGAAGCCGGTCCCCAGAACCGCTTGGGACGCGAGGAGCGGCAGAGCCCGCCCGGCAGCAGGCAGGGGTGGGCAGCCGGTGGTGGCTCTGACACCCCCACACCCTGACGTTCATGGAGCACAACCGAACAAACTGGTCTATTGTACTGCAAGACATTTACCAACCCCCAAACCTGTTACAAAACAGCAACCCCGGGCTTCTTTCTTTGGGAAGAAAACTACTCACGCACATGCACTCACGCACACGCACAGAACATGGCAGGCAGGAGCGGAGGGAGAAGAAAGGAGGGGGAGGACAGCAGGGAGAAAGACAAGAGACAGGTAAGTGTGCCCCAGGGCAGGAGCGTGCCTTTTCAGGCCTTGCCTCCCCCTCTGCCAGCACTCTCCCCTCCAGCCTCGGCTGCCAGGGAGGCATTTTTTATCTCGGGGATCCTTCAGCGATGCCTTTGGCACATTCATTGCTGTCGTCGTACCCCGCACGGCAGTGAATTACCGCTCCCCCCTTGGAAGGAGTGTCCCCGCGGGAACGGCTGCCGCGGGGGCCCCACCGGCCGGGGTTTCTGCTGGGAGAGGGGCCCACGCTCCGTAAGAGTGGTCCCAAGCCAGTGGGCAGCGCACCGGCCACTCCGCCAAAGCCGTGCCTCCAGCACCGCACAGCGCTAGCGACGGCTCTGCTGCACGGTTTTTTCCCCTAAATCGTGTATCTAGAGATAAAACAAAACCAATAAAAGTACCTCTCCAACGTCCCTCTTTCAGCCGCAGCCGCCGTAGGCTTTTACCAGGAGCGAGGGGAGCAGGGCTCTCATTTTATCCTTTTCACATATTTAGTGGCTCCCTTTGACGGAAACATAATTTGTATAATTAGCTGAGCGCACATGGGCGACTGATGGGCTGTGGAGTGCGCAGCTCTCGACGTTAATTGCTCTCAGGAAAGGATTCGGGGCGGCTTAGGCGAGAGACTTGCTTTCTAGCGTCAGGATGGGCAGCTTTCCCTTTGGCTTAAATCACTAAGGTGCGATAAGGTGTACGCGGTCCTGTCAGAGCCCCTTTTCCAGTGGGAAGAGAGCACCGCCGCCCCTTGGCTCGTCCATGGGGACCTGCAAGGGCCACATCCTGCCAGCACGCCCGGGCTGCGGTGGCACTGCACGGCACTGCAACCAAATGTGAACTCCCAGCTCCCATCCTCTTTCCTCTGTCTCTCTCTGCAAGCAAATCAGTCTTATATTTTTTCCCTCTTATTAAGAGAACAAGGGGTAATTTGGAAACCTTTATCGTGGTCGAAATAATTTTATTTTATTCAGAATATACAGTTTAATTCCTCTATCTACAATTATTTACAGGGTTAAAATAACATTGAAAAAAGTCTCTGGAAAAATTGAGGTCATAGATTTCAAGGCACCATTGATAGTGTCCACAGCTGAGCCAAAAAATGTCCGTATTGTATAAAAAAGGGTTTCCTCTGAAATGCAATAAGTTACATGCACAAGCTTTACACATTTTAATCTTTTTGTTTGTTTCTTTTCCCTTTTAAAAATTCCCCATATGCATTCCTTTCGTTATTATTCCTTAACAGTAAAACACAGGAGTCCAAGGAACAGAAAAAAAAAATAAAAAAAATAAAATAATAGAGGTCAGACTCTAATAAATTGTCCCAGAGCCGAGTGCTAACGGGTGCTGTAGGGAGCCGTGGGGTTGGAGGTGGGAGTTGATGGAGTTGGCAGCGGGATACCAGGAAGTGGAGTTCTCCAGGTAGCTGGATGCAGGGGACGGGTTGGAGTTTGGAGGGTGAGCGTGTGCGTGGGCATGGTGGCTGAGGGAGCGGGACGAGCCCTGAGGTTCCCAAACCGCAGGTGACTGTGGAGAGTTGCAGGCCATGGGGTCGCTGGAGCTGGGGCTGTGCTCCGGAGGCATCTCCCCGTTTTTCATGATCTTCTTGATCTTGGATCTTTTATTCTGAAACCAGATTTTCACCTGGGAGCGGGGCAGGAGGAGAGGAGAATAGAGAAAAGAGAGAGTGGGGAGGGAAAGCGACTATTAATGCCCCAGCTGGTGCTTCGCGGCTCCGGGAACCCGCGCCCTGACGCCCTCCCGCCCCTCCGCGGGGGCCGATCCAGCCCTTCCCGCCGCGCCAGGGTGAACGCGGGGTTCTGCGACCCGCCGGGGCCGAGTCGAGCCGAGCCGAACCGCTCGTGGTACCTGTGTCTGCGTGAGTCCCAGGGAAGCGGCCAGCTCAGCCCGCTCCGGCAGGGCGAGGTACTGGGTCTTCTGAAACCTCCTCTGCAACGCCGCCAGCTGAAAGCTGGAATAAATAGTCCGGGGTTTGCGCACTTTCTTTGGTTTGCCGTTCACCATCCGCACCTCGGGCTCCGCCACCTCCTTCTCTGCACGGGCGCAAGGGCGGGAGAGAGACACAGACGCAGACGTTAAGGCGCGGGACAGGCTCCGCTCCGCGCAGACCGCGCCGACTGCGGCGGCATCCCGCCCCCGGGCCGGGCCGGGCCGGGCAGCGGCGCCGGCCCGACGGGCCCCTGCGGTTCCCCCCGGGGCTCCGCCGCCGGGCGGCGGCCCCGAGCAACCTCCGCCGGCTTCCGCGGTGAGACGGGAGGGCCCCGCTCCCTCCGCGCCAGGCCTTGGCCAACCCCGGCCCTCCCCCGCCCGTCCCGGGCATCCTGCCGGGCGCGCAGCTCTGCGCGGCCGTAAGCGGGAGCGCGGGGCGTGCGCGGAGGACGACTGGTGCCCTGCTGGGAAGAGCCCGGTCCGGAGCAGAGACCGACCCAGGGCATCTACCGCTTCCCCCGCACGCCCGTGCCTTCCCCCCGCCACCGCCGGCGTGTCCCCAAGCGCCGCCGCGACCGCACTCGTCCCAGCCAAGCCCCAGCCGCTTGGCTTCGCCACGGGATTGCTTTTTTAATTCTCCCTGTCCCCTTCTTTTTTTTTTTCTTTTTTTTTTTCCTTGTTTTTTTCCCCTACAGCAAGTTACAAAGAAGTACAGGGAAAGCACTAAAACCGCGGCGCTTTCTGGTAAAAACACTCCCGGCTTCGCAGCCCCGCCACGGCTGGGCTCCCCCTCCCAGTCTCCTCCCCCACCCCTTCGGCACAGGGGGAAGGAAACTTTCTTCAACACCGCGAACCTGAGTTTGAGACACGCAACAAGGCTCGGCTATTTTCTCCCTTTTCTTGAAGGGAGAAGGAAGAGGGAGGTAGTCGTGGCGGCCCGAGGGCAGCTGAAAAAAGTTTGTTGGTAAAGCACTAGTCCTAGGATTTGTGTTTTAGATCGTGCGGGCTAGTAAAAGAAAAAAAAAAGGTAGACCATCCATCTTTTTTTTTTTCTAATTTGCTTCCCCTCCCCCCTCCCCAAATGTATCTGTTTATTTATATTTAGTTCTCCCTCTGATTCAGGGAAAGCTGCATCCCCGCTGCCCCTGAGTCAGGGATCTGCCGGGGCGCGCTCTCCCAGCCTCCCCAACGCCGCTGGAGCTCCCCGCACACCCCCGGCCCTCACCTGGCTGGCTGGCGGAGCTCTGAACGCGGTTGTAAGCTCCGCTGTACTGGTGGTAGGGGCTGGCGTAGCTGTAGTCTGCATAGGCTTTGGCAGGATAGTTCCCGGCAGATCCGTTCATGCCGTGGTACTGATACTGGTAGGGGTTGAGAGCTTTGCCGTAGGAAGCCGAGGTAGGCGAGCAGTAGCCGTGCGGGGCTCCCCCCGCCGGGCTGTAGTAGTCGGAATCCGTAGCCGAGGACTCGGGTAAAGTGGGAGATTCCTGGGACGGGTGGTGCATGGCTGCAGCCGTCTGGAAAGTAGCCTGGAAGTCGCCGGATCTGATGTTGGGGACCCTTCTGTCAAATACTCCTGTCATAGCTGGGAGCCGGCGGCGGGCTGGGGCTGGCGGCGGGGCTGCTCGGGTCTAAGCAGACATGTCTGGGGGAGGAGGCTGCGGCGCGGTGTCTGTCTCCGGCAGACTGCTGGCTGGGGCGCAGCATAGGCTTGGTTAAATCCTTAATTGCGCTCTTACGCACAGCAGGGTGGATCGGGTTCCATTGGCCAGAGCAATCGGGAGCAGCGACACCCTAACTCGTCCAACTAGTTTAGCACAACAAAGCTTCGGCTTAAAAAAAAAAAAAAAAAAAGTCCCGTCCTTCAGCTCTTTTAAAGTGAATACCAACAGCAATCTCCGAGCCGGAGCGTCGCGATTGGGAGGTTTCCGGCTCCCCCCACTCCTGCAGCCAGCGAGGGGTCTCGGCCAGCCTCGCCGCCCTGCAGCCCGGTGCCCCCGCACCCCTACCTGCAACGCCGCGGGGGAAGGCTGCAGCCACGCCATTCGGATTTGCCATCCGGTCCCCCTTGGCTGTGTCGATGGCTTGGGAGCAACGCACCGTGCGCTCCTGGTTCCCAGCACGTTTTCTGATCTGGTGACGCTAAATATTAGTGTCTGACCGGACTGTTTCGCTCGGGTCGTCCTCCCTCGCAGGGGGAACGCCGGCCGGGATCGCCGCGCTAAATACAGCAAACCCTATTACCCCCAAATATCTCGAATTTTAGTTACATCATTTCCTGCATTTCCAAGACCCTTGCACGGCCCGAAGCCAGGCGGGAGACTCCCGGCATGACGCCCAGCCGTGGGAACGTGGGGAAGCTGCTAATGGCACCATACGGCCTAAGGGCACCCACCCTGTGGATTTTGCGAAAGGCGACCTGCCCGAGGCACGATGTCCGTGGGTGGAGAGCCCCCGACCCCCTCGCCAGCGCCGGCGAGGCGAGGCGCGCCTGTGACCGCTCGGCCCCACGCGTGCCCGCACCTCAGTGCCTCGTGGCGATGCTCACCATCTGGTTCGGCTCCAGCCCAGGGTCAGAAGCCCTTCGTGAAGGGAACTCAAATCACCCTCACGCGTAGGCAGGACCACTGTGAGGCCGCCGTGGGGCTTCTCGACTTGGAGGCCGTCGCAAGAGCTCACTTTCCGGGTGACAGCCCCCAAGAAGTGACTGCTGCTGTGCGGAGGTGTCCTCCCCACAGCACCCTGGCTAGCAGCACCCTCCTTCACCTGTACCGGGGTTTCTGAGCCCATCTACGCAGCCATGTCCCAGGCAACGGTCTCCGTGGCCGGGCCGTGGAGAGGCAGGGGCTGGTGATGCCTGTCCCTCGTGATTTTACAGCAGCGTTGCAAAAAAAAAAAAAAAAAAAAAAAAAAAAGATCAAATTTTACTAGACACTAAGGAAAACAAATAAAAGCCTGTTTTCAGTGACCCGGAGTTGTAGGTTTTTCTGAAATTGTTTACTCTCCAGATTTAGCCTGTTTGCTCACCGAAGATCTCCCAGCCAGCTGAGTAACACTAGTAACACAACCGTGCATGTTGTACTTGAACTTATTGTTTGCTTTGGAAATGTCCACAGCTCATATAAAATCACATTAAACAAATCCCTAAGCATTTCATGATATTAATTACTTGCTTAAATCCATTGGAAATATCCCTCCTCCATTTTTTTTTTTAAGAGAGGAACTGCATAGGGATGTATGTTTACGATTGGGGAAGGGGGAAGTAAGTTTATTAAAGCTCCCAGTTTGCATCCAGTTGGAAAGGACGGTAGAGGTTTTAAACAGAGAAGGGGGGGGGGGGGGGAAAGCCCATTTGTGTCATAAATTCCAGGGCACTGCACTTCAACACGTCCGGGCAGGAAGGTGCCGTTTGAAGGGAGAGAAAGGAGAGAAGCTGGGCGCCGGTCTCGCACCCAGCCCCGGCAGCTCCGGAGCCGCGGCGGGTCCCGGCCAAGCCGTCCCGACAGGCTGCTTGTGCGGTTCACCGGGGAAATCTGGATCGGTTTCCTACAGCAGAGAAAGTTTGCTCTTGTTTTATTCAGTGGCAAGGCAGGGGGAAAAAAAGTTTCGATATTAAAAGGAAAAAAAAAAAGGCAGAAACCCACCAGATCCAACCGCAACCCCCCCAAGCTGATTTCTTTCTGAAGGCATCTGCCGCCGCTGCAGTCCGTGCGAGGATTACCAGGCTGAGGGCACACAAATCCGCCTGTTTGCGGGTTTCCTGGCCCCCCGTCCGTCCAAACCCGAACCCTTTTTTCTTGCCTTTCTGCTGTTTTCCCCCAGCGGTTTTTATTTAACACATCCGGTGGGAGCGGGCGGTTCGGAGGGAGCCGGAGTCTGTTTTCCATTTCACAATATGGTCATTGTTTACCGGCACATGCCCGCCGCGTCGCCTGAGCGGCTGCCCGGGACCCCCGCGGCCCGTTCGGGCCCCAACTCCGCTGACCCTCGGGGCAGAGGGTGGCTGTGTCCGTGTGTCCGTGTGTCCCCGTGTGTCCGTGTGTCCCCGCGGCCGCCGCCGGTCCCGGCGCGGGGGCACCGCGCTGTCCGTGCCCGGGCCAAGAGCGCCCCGCCGTGGCCGCGGGGCCGCAGCGCCGCCGCCGCGTTACCTGCGCGCCGCCCGCCCCCCCCGCCCCGCCGCCGCCGCCGCCCCCGCCGGGGCCAGACTGAGCGGCGGCGGCGGGCGCGGAGCCGGGCGGCCCCGCCAGCGCTGTCCCCGCAGGGCACGGGCACCGGGGCGCGGGAGCCGCCGGGCCGGCGGCCGCGGCCGGACAACGCGGCGATTGTTCCCGCCCGCGCCGGGGAGCTGCCGCGGGGGCGGCGCTGGGGCCCCGACGGAGCGGGCCGGGCGCTGTGTCCTGGCCGGTGCCCGCCGGCCGCCCCGCCCTGCCCCGGCGCTGGCTCGGCAGTATCCCCACCGGCCGAACCCTCCGCCTGGGTTCAGAGAGGGCTCTCCGTCCCGTCTCCCTCGGTAGCTCTTTGTTTCCAGCCAACGAAAGAAATATTTCGGATGAGCCTCTCAAGACTTTTGGATAAAGTCTTCCAATTGTTCACAGAAAATCTCTCACTTTCTGGATAAAATATTCGCGCTTGGGCACCGAGTTTTTGCTGGAAACTTTATTTGCATGGAAATTGCTGGCAAAGAATGAAAGGAAAATTTTTCCCCTTCCTTAAAAAAAGCCCCAAACAGCCCTCCGCAGTGGAAACATGGATTAACTCTTGTTTTACAGCATCAGAAAATGGTGATTTTCATTCAGCAACTTCAGGAACTGAGGGCTTTCCTCATTTTAGGCTTAGGACTTGTTTAACCAGGGAAGTATTTTCAGAATGAAGAGGCAAAAGGGATTGAAAGTCACATAAAGCTGTGAAAAAAAATTATGTCTGTTTTCAGTATGGGCAAAAGCTATTGGGGATCCAGTGGAGAGGGCTAGTAAACTAGTCAGAAGGATGTTCACACACAGTGATAAAACGAAGAAAGTCAGGAAAGGATTTTGGAAAGCAACAATTGGGAGCAGGGCAGGAGAAATAAACCTGACAGAAAACTCAGGGAAGGTATCTAAGACTTTTTGCTCGGATTTCAGTAGCTTTCTGCAGAGTCTTCTGCTCTGGATACAGCTGGTTTAGGGAGAGGAGAAGGCATTTCTCCACCTAGGCATGACATGGTCAGCTTTGGGGAACTTAAGTAACCCCAAAAGGAAAGAAGGTTTGTGTTCCTGTGAAGGTTACCATCTATGTTGATGGAAGGATGGACATGTGAACTTAGGGTCGAAGCATGTCTGGTCCCTCACACACTGGAGCAGGTGTTCTTTTTGCCCTCCATCCCAAAGCATTCCCTAGACTCCAATCATCTGCCATCCCTGGAACAGCCTTTTCTCTTCCAGTTTCTTGAGCATGCCCAAGAAATGTTGGGCCTCCAGCTAACGAAGCGAACCTGTCACTTTGGCATTTCCACAGCTGATGGACTCACTGCCAGGCTTGGCTGCAGCCTGGGCTCCACTGGCCTTGCTTGTCCACCCTGTAAATTGCACTGCGCATAAAAACCATGACGTACAATGTTAAGAATTAGAATTTGCTTTCTAGGGCAAATAGTGGCTGTCTTTTTCTCTTGCCAAGGAGCTGACATGAAAAGCTTACACTTGCACCTATTTCCTTCAAATTGCACTAACATGAGTGAAGAGAGGAGCCAGGGCTTCTTGTTAAGGTCAGCTGTAGCAGACTGAGCTGAATGTGGAAGACAAGATGATTTTAAGAGATTCCTGGAGATGCAAGGCTCCTGCCTGCATCCCCCCTTCGCTCCTTTCTCAGGGTGTGCCTGTGAGGGTCACTGAGGTGCTGCTTGGCTGTTTCTTGTTGCATCCCAGCCTTCCCAAGGCAAGGCATTGCCTGGCAGTCACAGTCCAGCCATAGCCTGCCCCTCCGGAAAGATACTTAATGAACTCAGTCATTCCTTTCTCTTTTGGAGCTCTGTCCACATGAGCTCATGGGACAGATGAGGAACTCCCATTACTCTTCAGTTCATGGGCTCAACATGTCTGTGGCCCATTTCAACAAACAAGATCTTCTCTCGGCTGGGCAGGATGTTTCAACAAAAGCTTGTCCTAGTCTTTTTTTCCCATTTCCAGCCCACATGATTCCATTGCAGTGTAACACTGGCTTCTTTCTGAGGTCATGGAGGACAGCAAAGAAACATCATCAGAAAGCCCAACTTCTCCCAACGGAGTTGTTCTTCTACCTGCCTGCTCCACAGGTAGCTGGATGTTGTTATTCCAGGAGCCGTAGGTTCTTCGACTGATGTGAGGCCCAGAGATTTCCAAGAAAGACAAGACACAAAACCATATGGAGCCATCCCCAGACCTGCAGTTTGGGTCAGCAGTGAGAGTTGCAGAGCCTCCCTGCACAGTTGCCTGAAGTTTCCATAACAGACCTTTGAGCACGGATTTGGAGCTGCATGGGCAAAGCTGCTGCTGGAGGTAGTGCTTTGATGCAGAGCATGAGCCAGCACTGCTGGAGAGCTGAATGTAAAATCTCTCTTTGCCAGAAACACTACAGGGAAAATGTTTGTGCTAGCTGCCCTTGCTGCCCGGCAGCAGTGCCACAGGGAGTCCACTGCAGATGTCTGGCATGGCAGATGGTGGTGGCAATGGCATACTGGGAAGGGCCTCCAACCAAGAGCAGAGGAGAAAAGGACCTCAGCTG